TCATATTTTCCTGAAATTTCCAATCCTTGCATACAAAAAAAAAAGATGGATCTAGAGGAGGTGGGCTTCTCCTTCCTTTCCATTAACTGAAGCTAATCCAATATAGAGGATGTATGTATGGTGCCATATTGGCGCAAGGAGAAGTGAAAAGTCGCTTTGAATTTTCGGAATATCAGTATATTCAACAAGATAAATTGCACCTACAGTGCTGTACAGGAAAATACATATAGGCGCATACGTATAATACTCTGTGCGCAAATTTTAAGCGAATGATGTCCACAGGCGGCAACTAATGGAGGTCTTTTGCGTTTTATTTTATTATCTCCCATTTTACTCATACTAACGTTGCTCGTAGGAGGCATCCAATCATTTTATTTTCGCCACATTCAAATAAATCACCCTATATAGCGCTTATTTAGAATCAGTGCCCTGGAAATTTCAAAGGCGATATTGACCTGCGATATGAACATCCCTTCCAGCCATTATGGCCCTTTAATATCGCGCCCATTTAGAACTCAATTAGAGAAGGCCTGGTAGATGTCTTGGAAACAAACTGCTACTCCCACTATCAAGATTGATGGTAACCCCCGCGGCAATGATAAACGCGGCCTCTAATTGTTTCGGTGTCCTTTTATAATGAAATCCTTTGCGGAGTTTAAAGGACTACGTGGTTGCCGGTCCGTGCCTCCCAAGTCAGTGTCGCCTTGGGGCAGTTTATTGAGAAAGGCTTAGACCCAAGATTTGCAGATAAACTGTTATTAGTTCTGGAAGTGTTATGAATTTATATTGTTTGTAGATCATTGTACAAACCAAAAATCTTACTTTAGAGATAACGATTGGAAATGGTTGATATTAAAAGTATAGTAATAGTTGGTCGAGAAGTGTTTTTAAAAAATGGAACTGGAAAGAATATACAATATCCCTAAATTGAGAAATATTTTTTACAGTGGATAGAACTATTCAAAACAAAAAAAAATCTTCAAATTTTATTTTTTAAATAACTCCATAATAAGGCAGCTACAACCTTCACAGTTGCAAAGAAATTCAAGCAAGGTCTTGCAAAAAATTTAAGCACTTAAGTCGATGGCCCGTATATTTAAAACAAGCGGTAAAGAAACGTAATAATTCTCGCTTTCTTTGTAAATGATTTTATTTACCAACCTTTAAATACATTAAAACACAATTATTTACATTAAGGTGTATATATTTTTATCTGTTTTCACTATAGTAAATAGACTATTAATACAATTTTTTTGAGGAGGTAAGTGGATTTTACCGTATAAGTGGAAGTTACTATGAACTAAGTGAGGTAACTTACCTCCCTATGGAAAAAAAAACGATTTAGAGTTATAAATGCATATTTTATGAATAAATAAATAGAAATATTTGATGAACATTACATTTTATTAATTATTATGAATAAATATTTATAGTAATTTTACAGTACATTTAGTAACATTTATAGAATCTGGATTAATTATTCCCCTCGCGTTTACTAATTGTCACATTTTTCTCAAAATGATTTGACCGCTCCATTTCAGTCACCGGAGATTCAATATTATCTGATTGAACCATTAAAACAGCATGATACCACGTACTACTAGAACCTGGAGTTGAAGTGTCATTGTAGAGAACATAACTTTCTGCAATTGTGACTGATTTCCACCCACCATGTCTCTTGATTGCTAATACATCAACTCCTATATTAGCCAGTAACGTTTATTAATTTATTTATTTTTATTTAAGTTACACCACCTGACAGTTAAAACCAATTAATAGGTGGGAGAAATAGCTAGTAAAAATAGATGCATTACTTAACAAAATCAGATTACTAAAGTACAAGAGTAAAAAAAAACAGTTAACACAAATTATAAAAAAGTTATAAAAAATTATTAAAGATAACTACTACGTATGTAGGACTAAATAAAAAATACGGTCGACAAAGTTAAAATAAATGCTAACATAAATACCAACAAAACAATCACTTTAATATTCAACTAAAACTAGTTGCCGATGTTCTTAAGAATGAATGGCCTGTATATGTTTCAGGATGTTTTAGTTTAAAAAACTGTGCAATCTTATTGGGAATCATAGAAAGGGTATTCTTGCCCACCGGTTGGTTGTAACATCTACCTGCTAGATAGCGCATATAAAAGCGTCAAATTTTAGTTTTAATTTCCAATCTAATCTTGATATATTTCTTGAGAATTTCTAGGTGGGAAACAGAATCCAGACGAGAAGTAATTGTAAATGTACGTGACATACCATTTTTAGAATCTGGAATTGTAACTACAATAATGTCATCGAAATTTTTTAAATTGACATTGTCTAAAGTAAATTTGCATAACTCCTCAGAACGGTATGCTCCTGCAATGCCTAAGACAAATCATTGACTTGTCCTCTTGTAAAAGCGTTTGACTTTTTAGGTGTATCGCCGTCATTCTTACGTTTCGAAAATGCTCTCAGCAGAAAATAGTTGACTTTAAAGTTCTTGACTTCTCCATGAAATATGCTAGCAGTGACATTTCAGAAACACCAGTATTTTTGTTCTGGCAACATTCTTTGAAATTTCTATAATATGCTCGTCCGTAGCGCACTTTCGACTTCACGGGCAATAAAAATTCGCAGGTAACATTTGCCGCACTTTCTATTTGAAAATCACTCATTTAGAAATAATAATTCAAAACCAACGAAATTGTAACTTTTATGTAGCTTTGTTTATAAACACTTTAGAAACGACAAAATCCAAACAATCAAGGCGACTTTGCAAGATTTCGAATAATGAATTGATTGATTAAGAAATGTGAAAAAATAAAACCTAATATCAATTTCATGAACCATAAAGAACTGTGGGAGCAGATAAAATGTTATACACCACGCAGCAGTTAAGTATAATTTACCACTCTTGGACTCTATTGCCAGCCCTCGCTCCGCTCGGGCGCAAAATTGTCCTCGATTGGTAAATAATACTTACCTCTTTAATGGTGTAAATATACTATATTATTATCGTGCGTCAAAACAAAATGATCACACCGGGCGCCTCCGACACTTTGCTCTACGCATCCGACTTTCACCTCCCAGATGAAATAACTTAAACTGTACATTTGTATCAGTTCTATCATGGATTTTAACTAGGATTTTTGGTTGAACAATTTCGCTGATAATGTCCCACATTTATGACAATAATGAATAAGTTGATATCACGGTAGCGTAGTCGGTCGAGAGTGCGGTGACAAGCAGTTCTCGGCCAGGCTTCCTATTCTGGTCCGGGTTCGATCCCTGGCGTCGGCACTGACAATGTTGATAGATAAAGGGTGTTATCCGCGTTTTTTTTTCAAGTGTAGCCCCCTTCCGCACTGCCTCTGGCTTTGGATTTGGGGGTTGTCTCATTTCTGTGGTGTGTTTTATGTTTTTTTTTTATATGTTATTAATTTGTAGACAGTCTCGTCAGAGTTATTATTATTACATTACATTATGGGTACACCCTTCATAGATATCATTTTTTCGGATTTTGCAAAGGAGCAGAGACGCTGTTGGAGGGCAAATAGAAAATGTGCAACGGGAGGAACAATTTTGAGTATTACTGACAAGGATCCAACAAACAAGTACTCGAAAAGCACGCCAAGATGAAGTGACCCAAAAAGAAGTTTTGACAACATTGTGGAAGTCTGAGTTGTACTCATTTCATGTACTTCAAGCCACAGTCACAAGACTACTCGAATAGAGTGGCTCTTACAGTAACATGGGGTAAACGAAAAGTTGACCAGAAATATTTTGGAATGGACGAGGCTGATGTGATGAATATTTCTCAAAGTAGTCACCTTCTGACTGAACACACCGACTTCTACGGTGTTTCCACTTTTGGAAGCTTTCCCGGAAACATTCTTTCTTGAGAGTGTGGAGTACCTTCTCCGTATTTGCTTGGGTGTCTTCAATGAAATCAAATTGCTGTCCTTTAAGCGAAATTTTCAATTTAGGAAACGAATAGAGGTCGGCAGGGGTTAGATAAGGAGAATAGGGGGGTTGCGGAAGCACAGAAATTTGAATTTTCGCCAAAAATTAATCGATTAAGAGCGCATAATAAGACGGTGCCTTATCGAAGTGAAGAATTCAATCCTTGTCTCGCTTTTTCTTCCGCAAACGTTCAATAATGGTTTTATAGTATTCCTGATTGTTTCATATTCAAGAAGGACAATAACCGTAGAATCGAAAAAAATCAGCTAAATTGTCTTCACATTCGACCGATTTTGATGCGCTTTTTTTTGATCACGACGGACCTGGTGGACTTTTCCACTGCGATGATTGTGCCATTATTTCTGGGTCATACCCATAAACCCATAATTCATGTAGGTACTCGAAAATAAAAAAAATAGACTACTTGGACACTTTTATCCAGATATTATTTTTACACTAAACTTATGTTCAAAAAAGAATACAATACAGTTATGTACATTATTTTCTGTATTTGTAAATGTGCCTTGTAATGTCAACCAAAATGTGCCACCTTGTACATATAGCGTATAAATGGTGCCGAATTAAAGAGAGTACAAAGGGATGTTTCTTCGGAGATTACAATATAGTTTTATGATAGTGATGCAAGTCCTACAAAGCTTATCATTTAACGATAAAATGGGATAGTATCATACTTTTAAGAATATTAATTGCAGAACTTCATGCAATATACATTAACTTTATAGTCAAAGAAATGAACTAGTTGATTTCTGAATTATAAGCACATGAATTATGTAATAGGTTAATGGTCACATTCAGCCTTTTTCAGACTTCTTTCTTGTGCGAAAGAGAATAAAAATAGAGGCTCCTCTAAAGGCAAATTAAACCCTAAAATAATATCTGAACTGATAGAGAAATAAAGAATAAAAAATATAAACCGAATTCTTTTGTAGGTTAAACTGAGATAACTCTAAACTCTAGGCAAAAAGAAACAAATAAAAAAGTCCAGAAATATAATTCCGATTAAAATATCCCTTTCTTTGTTTCAGGGAATGGCTTTTACTGGAGACGCCCTCCTCATCCGTGGCTGTGGCCGCACCGATTTTCAAGAAGGCAGTCCGGAATTACTCTACCATAGCATCCATACCAAGATTTTTACTCTTCCAGATGAGACACTGTTGTATCCAGCCCACGACTATAAGGGTCAGACTGTTACTTCTGTGGACGAGGAAAAGAGATTAAACCCTAGACTGACGAAAACCTTAGAAGAGTTTGTGCACATCATGAACAACCTCAACCTCAGTTACCCCGCACAAATAGGTGAGTTAATTAATTTTTCCGTTAGATTTCAAGGAGAAATAAATTGACATTTAGTGTTTTTCTTATTATTTTCTGTAACAAAATTTAAAATTTTGTTGAAAGCATACGAAATAACTAAATCTGAAGTTTTTAAGGTCTCACTAACATTATCACAAGTCCATCATTGGCTTCATAATGTCGAGTAGCTTGAAACTAAACACGAAAACAGATTTCCATGTTGAATTTTTTCTTGTTGTCAATCTTTATACCGTGCTTTGAAGATTTTATCGCTAAGGTACCTACGTGCCTAAAACCAATGGGAAAGGTGCATAACACCTCTCAACTTATAGGATCCATGATGTGCGCACCGATTTAGTCACTTGATTAACCAAAATGGCGGCTAAACCGGAAACTGGGGGCATCGGATTTTTACGATGATTTGAAAGGTTGTGTGGTCTGATTGATTTAATGGGTTAAGAGATGAATTTGTTTATTTTCATGTGGTCTTAGTTATACATGACTTTATCTTGTTTTGCATAATACCGCCAACTTATTTTTTTGCTTGAATTTAAATGCGTATTTCCATAAAAATCGACTTAAAAGTATGGTATGGTGGTAAAGTAAAAGTACTTTAACGCTAAGTGTCAAATGATTAAACAATGACACAAATAATAAATATTTCCATGTATTTTTTTCTCTGAATCCGAATCTGCCTTCAGGTTTAGCCCAACGGGTCTGAGTTTTCGGGAAAATTCAAAAAACCGGTCAAAATTCACAAAAAACGTCATTTACTATCGACGAAAGTTATAAAAAATCATATTATTCTACCAGCTCACTAGACGTCTGATTTTTCACTCGTTTTATTCCAATTTATCATCATAGAGTCCGACAAGCTGGTCCAATTTCATTCAAAAACAGAAAATAGATCAAAACGCCATTTTCATGGCATAATTCGTGTTGCAGAGTTCTAGATCCATCTGTTTATCCACCCACCCATTTATGCATTCATACATCTTTCTATCCAGTCGTTCATGAATGAATACGCATATTTATTCATCCACCTGTACCACCTATAAAACCCACTCATCCACCCATCTATCCATCTACTTTTTGTACTAAGAGATAAGTCTAGAAGATTGAGAATGCGAAAATTTCCGAATATTTCTGCGGTGAAATTGAAAGAAGGTGTATTCGATGGACCTCATATTCGGACATTGTTCAAGAATGCAACATTCATCACTACAATGAGTAGCATTGAGAAGAGTGCTTGGACTAGTTTCAAAGCTGTAGCGACAATTTCTTTAGGAAACAACAAAGGTCCTAAATACGAAGAAATTGTATCACAAATGATAAAAGACTTCCAAGATCTGGGATGTTTGATGAAGTACAAGTTGCACTTCCTTCATTCACATCTGGATTGGTTTCCTGAAAATCTTGGAGAATACAGCGAAGAACAAGGCGAACGATTTCATCAGGATATGAAGGTTATGGAATAGCGATATCAAGGAAGCTGGGATGAAAGCATGATGGCCGATTTTTGTTGGTTGTTAAAAAGAGAAACGAAAAATAGAGGGACTAAACGAAAGCGTAATCCTTTGCATAGATCCTTTGGAGAAAAGAGTACACGTTATAGCAACAGAAATAAGAATGATTTGTAGATATCGTTTTCTTTTGTTTAAAAAGTAGGATATTCTACAAGTTTTATTGCATTCTCAGTCTTTTAGGCTGTTATCTCTCAGTACAAAAAGTAGTTGAATAGATGGGTGGATGGTTGGGATTTATAGGTGGTACAGATGGATGAATAAATATGCGTATTCATGCATGAACGACTGGATAGAAAGATGTATGAATTCATAAATGGGTGGGTGAATAAAAAGATGGATCCAGAACTCTACAACACGAATTATGCCATGAAAATGGCGTTTTTAATCTATTTTCTGTTTTTGAATGAAATTGGACCAGCTTGTCCGACTCTATGATGATAAATTGGAATTAAACGAGTGAAAAATCATACATCTAGTGAGCTGCTAGAATAATTTGATTTTTTATATCTTTCGTCGATCGTAAATGACGTTTTTGTGAATTTTGACCTGTTTTTTGTATTTTCCCGAAAACTCAGACCCGTTGGGCCAAATCTGAAGGCAGATTCGGATTCAACGGGAAAAAATACATGGATATTTATGGGTCTGAATACCAGAGCCGTTCCTTTTTTCTTTGTGGGGCTGTGTAATAATTATTGTTACGGCAACCATAATTCTTATTTATCAGGTTACTGTGATGGAAATATGAAATTATATTGTATAAAATGCTTGTAACTTCTAAACAAAAACGAATGGGACCTATGTTCATATAAGAAAAAATAAATTAACCAGCTACTCTCTGTCAAAATTTGTCATAGAGCTTGTAGAACACTCTGTATAGGTTGACATATTTTATTTATGGCAAATTCTTAGATAAAATTATTTAAAAAAAAATTCTGTTAGAAGGAACTGTCGTATAGCACCAAAAAAGAAAAAGGAGCCATCCTTATCGAGACATCGATGTCACAGAATTAATTTCAACCGCAAATAAGCTATTGGATTTAGTGACTTCCGCATTTTATTTCTTTTAACCTTAGTAATCAACACCATGCGTTATTTATGATGTCTGTTTGGTCTAATTTCGTAAATCCAGCCACTGGTGAACGGCGATTTATGGTTCTTTTTATTCGATTATCTGGCGTCGGGGGTCCCAACCAGGACAACCCCCGACGCCAGTGGGCATCCCAGGCAGCTTGAAATGCTGCCAAAGCTCCATTTGGCCACGGCAACGACATCGTCGCGAGAGATAGAAGGCCAGATACTTCCCGAGAAATACTGCACAGAAACAAAAATGATATGTGCACGCTTTGTAGATGAAAAAGTGCGATCATGACCTATTTATTGTTGCTTCCACGCCCCAGACTGTCTGCTATGGAAGCGACGCAAGAAGGAGAGATATATAGAAGATTGCTTTGTATAAATGAAATATGTAAAATCTATGCAGACCTAGATATAATTCTAGGAACGTTTTCTCCGTTTAATGAATGTGTTGACCGATGGAACGCATAAATTTCTTTTTATTTGGCTGTTATGTAAAAAAAAATAAGAAAAACATATCAATAATACTAATCATTGAAATGTATATTGGTTTGTGTTTAGTGATATAAAGTGTAGAGCAAGCTCATGTAGAATAAGAGGTTATATTATAACATGCCTTAATTTCTACAATGTTTTGAATAATTTGTCTTAATTATATCTTGTGAGGTTAATTTGTCATAATTTTGAATGAATGAAGTAAAATAATTCAATGAACTTCGTTGATTTTGTGTGCAAATGGTATATTATACAGGCTGATTCAAAATTCACTACAAAGAAATTAGGAGCGTATTTTTGAGATTAAAATAAAACTTTTTATTTTCTATAAACGTGGGTCCACAATGCTTAGTTTTCGATATAAAGGGTTTTAAAGTTTTTTATTTTCTTCGATTTTTTAGGAATAATTTCCAAACAGATTTAAAATAAATAAAACTTGGCGCACGGGTTTTTTTAGGATGCTAAATTGAAGTATGTTTGCTTTTGATGCTGCTTGTAAAGGGCGCCACCTATGAGGGTACGCTTGAATTAAATTAGCTATAACTTTTTTTGCTACCTTGTACATTGACGTTTCGTATTAGTGCTTTTTCCCTATCTATACTTAGCCGAAATCTCTCAGAACAACCGTCTCCGAGATATTAGCTAATGAAGAGGTAAGTTATATGCAAATATTAAAATCTGTTTGGAAATTATTCCTAAAAAATCCGGGTTTTCTTCGTTTCTAATTATCCGATCGAATCGATCGACCTCTCGTTTTATTTGTATTTAGATTCTCTACAAATTGTCTGTCTGTAGCATTCTCTTAGTTTTATAAGGAAAAACTAAAAACAATGAGTTTTTTGCATAAAAATACAACACGTATCTACAGACTGTCTTTTATATGATGACACAGTCCGTTTGCTACTAGTATTTTTGTCACAAACAAAACCTCTATTGATTGGCATAAGCGGCGAATTTGATCTGTTAGAAATATGTAAGAATATTCCATAAAAAAAAACTTTTAGTTTTCTTAGAAAAATCAGGATTATTTAAGTCAAAACCGACATTTAATACTAGTTTGATACCACTAATGTTCGTATTTTAACACATAAATCTATCGGATAATTAAATAGGAAAATTAAATATTTTTGGATAAGATATAATAGGGTGCTACATTTTATGATTGGTCGCTGGTACTATTTCTTAGGTATTACGGTAATTAGACCTGTGTGATAATCTGCCACAACCGTTTGCAAAATATAATCTGTCGGCATTTAAATTTTCTTCGTAGATATGGTAAGAAATTTGGTTATCTTAATTAGACAAAAAACATTTACGCTAAATTTATTTTGAAAGTTTCTTTCCCGGATAACATGAGGATATTCAGATTACCACAAATGAGTATTATGTGTATTAAAAATACCTTCTCTCGTAAATTTTGACTCGTCTGTCCATATAATATGTTGCAAAAATTGTGGATCTTCTTGGTATCGCACTAACATCGTTTCACAAAATTGTACACGTTGCACGGCGTAGCTTAAATTTGTATGGACGCATATCATTAGTTCTTAGCATTTTGTGATTGGACGCTCGTCATACTCTGCGGCACGAGTTGATGATTCTGGATGAACATTAAAATAGGCTAGCACATTTATTACATTATCTTCATTTGAAGTTATTGGTTTTGGCAAAATTCTTTCTGCACAAATTCGACCATACTCTAGTTGATTTGCTAAAATTCTTCTTAACTTTTTTCTGTACATTGGTGGCAAATTTGGATATGTCACATTAGAAACTGTACATGTTCTGCTTATAATCCCATTGAACCGTCCGTGAATGAATAATAAATTTAAAATATCAACATTTGAATATATATTGTTTTCCATTTCTTATAAATACTAAATTAAACTCTCACTGCAAGAAACTAAC